TAATAGATTTCTTAGTCAGAATTACCATGACAAAGTACGTGGAGACCATTACAGTCTCTATGACAACCCCTTATTTGCAGCTACTGTATGAGGAGCTATTGAATTGTCTGATAAACATCTAGTCTTGCACAAACAGTAGCTTTGTTCAAAACAATTGCTTCAGACTTCCAGTCTCTAGGTATTTTACTTACACACTCAAAACAGAGATGCCTTAAGAATAAAAAATGCAACAATCAGGCTCCACAAGGCCAACAAATTATGATAATCCCTGACAGACCTATGCTTTTTCCCTGTTGCTAGTATGCCAGAGCAGGAGTATTTTTCAAAAAGCACACTGAAAATTTCTTGGAAAATGGGTTAAGAAAATGGTCTAAAATATTTTCTGCTTCTACCAGTGCTGATTAAATTGTAAAGTGGGTATCTTCCACCTGAGGTGTTCAAGCATATTAGAAACAAACTTGATATTGATAACTTTACAAGTGGCAAAACTGAGGGAGAGAGAGAAGGTGACTGTAATGTGTCATACCCACAAGCTTGCAGCAGAATGAGATTAAAATCTACATGCTAGCACTTCCAAGCAACTTGTTCTCAGTATTGATCATACTGACTGCAAGCAGATTTCTAAACAAAAAGACTGGGGGAAAATATGCAAAACATCCGAGAGGGGTACTTGCAAGACTGAAAAAGAATCCCATATTAAACCATGCATTAAAAAAAATGGACTGGTCTCCTTTCTGATCCAATACGAACCGCAGTTGTTGCAAGATACTCCCTGTGAACAGAACACATCAGCTGTGTCTGTCTCGCAGTAGTTTAGTAGCAGCAGTTTAGTATGGAATATGCTCTCAAAGACTTTTAGTATTATAAGCAGTAACAGATGCAAAGACCAAAGGTCTTAATTTTCAAGCATTCTGCACAGAGATCTTTCAAAACACTGGTTAACATAATTAGAAACCTTTCTCTTCAACGTCCACTTCTCGCTTTTGGTAAGTTAGAGAGTGAGAATGGGGAAATGAGTACGGAGGGGTCAATCACACGAGAGGTGAAAATTACCTTGTGTGCGAGACAGCATCACTGAGACTGTAAGCACTGTTCTCCCTTGTTAGAGGATTGGAAGCTGGTTGACTCTTGCTGTGAATATCCAGGCTCAGTGAAGATTCAGTTTTCCGGTCCATGTGGCTATCCTTTTCTAATGTCCTGTCTGCAATGGAGACCACTTCACTGGAGCTGTGCCACAGTGGTGCCACCTTCTCCTTTGTGAGCCCTGTACGGGGAGATGTCGCTGCTCCCAGGGAGGCAGTGCTGCCATGGCTAGGCCCGTAGGAAGTGGTGTCTATGCCACTATCAGCTGAAGTCCCTTGAAGGTAGTTGTAGCTGTTCAGCTCTGATTCGGTGCGCTCTCCGTTGTCATACCATTTCTCATCACTGTGAGCACTGGAGGCATTGCTGGAGAGTGTATTGCTGCTGGAATGGCTGGAGTAGTGGCTGTCAGACTACAGAAGAAACAATCCAAAAAAACCACATCTGTAGGTTTATTTTAGAATTACAGCAATGGACAGGTGGAAATAAAGTGACAAAAGTCACCACTGGACAATACTAGCTCTTCTATCTTGAGTACATTGAGGAGACTAATAAACTCTAAAAATTTAATTCCAGCACATTGCATGTGCTCTGTTCCACATGCACATAAAAAACTTTTCACATGGATTTGGAAGCCATGTCTTAACTATTCAGGGAAAGCCAGAGTTGTTTGTATTTTGCCTCAAAATACTTTATACTGATTCCTTCCAAGCACAGTTCTGCTCATCCCAGTCCAATGAAATTGGCTGAGCTATGTAGACTTTGACTTGATTTATAACTGCGGTAATTAAAAATATTCTGATTTTAAGACGGCAATGTTTTAAAACATAAAACATAACCAATCCACAGAAAGTGCTTGTTATTTTAATAATCCAATTGCCTATCAAAAGGGCAAAGAAGATCATAACCACTGCCCTTCCTCCCCTTTGCAATAGGATGTATTTCCTCCTCAGCAGGAGTGTCCTTTGCAAATGACCACTGAAACACCATTTAACTAATCTGGAACTGTTTTCCAGAAAGCATGAAAGGAAGCTTTAATGTAAAGCTTTTAAATGACTCAATCAGGGCATGCCAGTGTCTGGCTGGTTTGTATGTCCTGTCCCTGGTTACAGCCAGCTTTTACAGAGAAACTGAATGCCCTCACTTTCATAGTGGGCATTGGTGGAATATCCCATTTTGGGAAGAATTTCTTGCATACACTTGTTGCTTAGCAGCTCACCTACCACAGGAGTATTTATATGCATCTGAAGTCCAAAGAATTTATCTAAGTTCTGATTGTCTATAGAATCAGAACTGAAGCAGTGAGCAATGCACTTGTTACATGAGAAGACAGCCAAGGAATAAGGGAATGGATGGAAAGCAGACTTAGAACTTTCTTATTTGTCTACCCTACAGTTTTACTGAATAGATATCGGCAGAGATCCCAGGCAAATATAAAAAAATAGATACTATTTCTGTTTTCACCTGAAAAGAGGGGAAATAGAGAACAGATGCATGCATACTGAGAACAAGAAATCATCAGCATCCATGTCTTTTATTATACTAAAGCAAGAATTGACAGAAAAACAGGAGGCACATGAAGCTGATCTGGACTTCTAGCTGTCTCCAATTAAAGTCACTGGTCTTTGTTAAGAAATGCATCACTCCCCCATCCATCTGTCTACATAATAAAGATTTACTTTAACAATGACTAAACAAGAAGAATGCATTAATAATTCCAGTGCTGCACTTTGCACTCAAGCTAATGAGTTATGTATTACATTATTATGTTGTCAGATACATCTCATGGAAAACAGGTCAATCTAAATTTAAGAACTAGTCTGTGCTTCTAAGAATATGAAGACAGGTGTGTTGTTGTTCGGGGTTTTTTTATGTTTTCTTTTTTAAATAATAAATGTGTTGTTATGAATTAATAACCTAAAACCAACACTGCCAATTGTATTGAAAGAATAATGCTGGTAAACAGAAGCAAATTAAAGACCAGGAACCAATTAAAGACTTTCTCACATCTAAATAAATGCAACTAATACCTTCAGTACTGTCATGCAACACAACTCTGTATTTTAGCTTGTTGTACACATAAATAAAGAAACAAGTGATACAGTTTATTGGGTAATTTAAAGTTCAAAGGGTGTTTTTTTAATTCCAGTGACTTTAATAATTTTCAAGACATTTGACATTTATGAAAATTACTGCATTTATCTGTTTCACTGTATGTAAACTGGGAAGTGATAGTCTCCATATATGTGTAAATATTTAGCTGTGGAGACTTCTAGAAGGACAGCATTCACCTTTAGACCCTGAACACCAGTAAAACAAGAAAGGTTTTTTTTCAGCAGGATTCCAGCAGACCTTTCAGACAGACTTCCAACAGTGTGCAAGGTAAGTTATGGAAAGGAATTAATGGGTACACTATGTGATGAAAATGTAGAAAATACAAAACTAAAAACAAGATCATTATTCTGTTTTGCAAAAGCAGCTTTCTGGGCATAGAATTATAAGATATATTAGTAAACTTTAAGTATTATGTGTGAGGCCTAGGAATAGCTTTGCAAATTTCCACAAATCCTTTACTTATCACAAGGTAACAGACTGGCAATTGCTGTTCAACTGGCAGCAAAACTTTAATAACTAATAAATATTTCAATAAGCTGTGCTGTAGGATTTAGAAAACAGGCCTGCTCTACTGCTTTCTCCAGTAGACAGCGGGATTTTTTCCTTTTTTAAGCTGACACTCTAAACATAACTTTGCACTACACTTTTGGTACCAAGAGCTTCTAGAGCAAAAGCAAAATATTAAATAACTCCTTTTTCAGAATAACTTACATGACCCTGCTTGTTTGGAGACAAGTGCACCACAGGATCCTGTCTCATCAGTCTTCCACTGGGGCTTTCTCTGAAGGACGGCAGTACTTTTGATACTGCTGGCAGATGGCATGTTGGTTCTGCAACACAGCACACAATGATGTACTGAAGAGCATATGCAGTGCAACAAGCTAGAAAGACGTGTAACCTGATTTTACACTGCAATTTTTCCAATACCACCATTAGGCAAACACTAATACGTATTGTGACAAAACACAGGTGAGGAAGTGAGGGCCCATTCCTGCCTGGCGTAAATCACTAAGAGTCCATTAAAAAGGAAGCCTGACTTTTGTTAGAACAACCTCAATGGTATCACATCCCCACTGTCAAACAGAACTATATGAAGCATTAAAACAGTGGAATATTCATTTTCACAGAGTACTGACACTGTGTCACTATAGGCACGATGCCTGCTAGCGAGAGATTAAAAAGTTTGAAGATCCCCATTTCTTAAAATGGCATTCTACGCAAGGCAGGACAATAGCAAAAGTCTACAGTGATCACTTCAATGAACACATTTTCTCCAGTACAATTACTACACATATTTCTTATCAAAGTTACAGTGAGTTAAATAAACATTTTCTAATTGAAGACATAGCAAAAAATCTGTCGAAATCATAATATTCTCTTAAACATTGCTGGCTGTGAATGTGGGAACTGCATAGGTGTACAAAAGGAATACTTATTAGACTAAACCTGACAGAAGTAGATGGAATTCAAATCATTCATCTTACGTGTATGATCATAGGAGTGCATTTTGCCAATTAAATTTACTGTTTTCCCAGGAGATAACTATGGAAGTCTAGAGAGTGTTCAGATACAGCCTGTTAGGTAGGTAATTGCCTCCTCAGAGCCCAAGGTCAGTATTTTAAAAGAATGTGTCTCCAGTTGTGAGTGTTTACATATATCCTGCACTTATAAAAATGCTCCTTTTAATTAGATTATGTGCTTAGAAACATCAAGTACTTATCAATACCCATGGTAAACAGCAGTGCTTTCCTCAACACAGCAACAGTTTGTTCACCCTAATCTGCAGCATTACTATCTTTCTTAAAAAAAAAAAATGAAAGTTGTAGGTTTTTAAAAGAATAATAAAGATGGCAGAAATAATATTATCACCAAATGTGACTGCCTCAGACAAGTGGTAGCAAGCAGTGTCAGTGAACCAAGAACAAAGGTGTTCTGTAGCTAAGGATGGGCCAGGAAGGAGTGAGTGCGTGGATTCACTACACCTAATGCCTTATTTACCTTGAGACAGATTATCCCAAATGGAAAAGTGCTTATCTGTCATAGAACCAAACTTTCACCTAGATTCACCAGATTGGCAATAAAGTCTCCAGTCAGAGATGCAGCTTCCAACTGTGACTCTATGAATGCAGGACAATACACAAGAGATAAAATACAGGGATTATATGTCAGTATGCATTTCTCAGCCTTTGCCAAATGCCGGAGCCATCTCTTCTACCACACAATTTTTCCTGATTTTTTTTTTTTTGGCTTTATTTATTTTGCTAATATGTTGACACCTGACACTGTAGAACAGAACTTGTTGGCAGCTCCACTCAGTGTCAGCACCAACTCCCAACTATTGGTCTGCAAAAGTAAACCTGAGCAAAAGATCAGTTTTACATGTGTCGTTAACCATCACTCAGTATCAAAACATATGTGATTAAAAGTTGTTCTGTCAAAATGAAAACTGCACATCAGTTAATCACAGTTTTTTAGTGAGAAGTACGGGGGGGGAGTTGTGAGGGAGGTACTGACAGATGGCTTCAATAACAAGGCACAGCGTACTGCGGTTGCAAAGGTATGTGAGCAAAGTACATCTTCAGAACTTGAGGCTGGCATATGCCTTAAACTCCTGACCTCACTGAAGCTTATTCCATGTTGAACACTAGTCCATTTGTATACTGATGCAGTAAAATAACCTTTATGTGCAATTGAAAAAGTATGGAACTGTTTAATCTATGGTAAAAAAAGTCAGAAAAAAACAATCTAGCGACCTTGGCCACGGTCATCATGTTGGATCAATGCTGTTTGTAGACAGGACAGTTCCATTGGTGTTAATCTTACTGGTACCCATTAAAGTCAAGCCATAGCTGTAGCAAAAGGTCTATGTGCAAAAGCTTCAAATGAAGGTCTAATAATATAAATTCTCAGTACCTTGCTGTTTTATGTAGTTAATGTGTTTCCTAAGCTGACAGCTTAATTGCCATGTGCAATGAAAATGTATACACTGGTGGAAGGTGATTACCTGGCCATAGATGGACTTCACTATTTAAGCCTTAACTGCATTTTTTCCATTTTGTACATGGTATTTTTATAGCTTCAATGATCAAACAATCAATTTGCATTTATATAGCACCATTTGAAAAGGAGCATCACAAGTGCTTTAGACAAACTAAGCAAAAATTAAACTAAGCCAAGCTCCTCAGGAGAGTAGGCAAGGTCAAACAAGTCCTCAACGGCAAGACAAATTAACAAGTGTGTCTACCCAACTGCTTCTAAAAAGACAGTGTGTTTCAGGGTAAGAGCATTAAGGTAGATTTAGTCCCACAATCAAATGAAGAAATGAAATCACTTCTTCCTCAGGTGATACTTACAGGTCTCAAGGAAGCAGACTGCGGAAGCTTCAGTACGTGCTCCAGACCTAATTATTCATCCTGATGAACAAGGTTAACTTTCAAAGGCACTGAAAACACAGAGCTTAAGAAGGTGTTCTCTCTGCATGGAGATGTATTGCCAAGGTCACCTTGCAGTTAGCACCACTTGCTCATTGTAAAGAATTCATTACCTACCTATCTGGTCAACGATACTATCCTCACTCCTTTGCCAGCTGGGTGTGGATTTGCCGCTACCGCCCGTATCTGACTGCGTGTTCTGCCTGTCAATGGAAGCAGGGGATCTACGGCTAATTCCAAACCTGTTTTCCCCAAAAAACAAAGCAGATAATGATTTTAAATATACATAAATCTCGCATAAGGGGGAAAAAAGCACTTTAAAGAAGCCAGTGTCAAACAACAGGGCAGACCAACACATAGCACAAATGCTTAAGGGATTTATAATGTTTTACCATTTAATTTTTGTGGCAGCACTCTAGACCCATTTAGCACTTTTAATGCATAAGATTACAGTATACATTAGTTTATTGAGCATCTTTGATCGAGAACAGCAGATTACAACGATACAATTGAAAAAAAACCAGACCAAAACATTATGAAATAATAAAATTGTTAGTTTTCATTTACATAGAAGTTTACATAAAAAGACAACCAGACTGTTACATGGTTACAGAAAACTCATCACAGTGAGTAAAATGCTAAAGTTTGGATCCTTTTAACTGTGAAAGCGCTACCTCAAATTAGTCAAAGAAAGCATTAGAAAGTTTTTTGGGACAATCCCATGGATCTCAGACACCTTGCTGGGTTCTAACTAAATGAGCTTTAAGGTCGTACCTCTACGTCCTGCAGATATATAAGGCAACAACATGAATTTATTTGGGACAACATTACACTGCCAAATAGTTTCAGTAAGCCTCTCTAAAGGTGACTTCATAATGTACTGGTTATGGATTCTCAAAACTTAGGATTATAAAAGCTGTAAATTATTAGGTTACTGGATCATAAAATAATTTGAGTGGACTAGTGCAAGCTAAATACAGCCGTAGAAAAGCAGTGAGATGTACACCTATTGCTGTAAAAGAAAGCATACAGAGCAAAAGGAAAAATCTGTTCTAAGGACTTTGTAAATCCTGCCAGATTAGTAAATGGATTTCAGAAACCTCAATATAGAGTCAAGGAGAACAAACTAATGACAAAGGAGACACACAGTGTCTGTGTGCCATACCAAAAAGCCTGTAAAACTTAAATCTACAGTTCTGTATTACATATAAATCACCTAAAGTATGTAAGAATTATTGGGTTCAGAATAGCAGATCAATCATTAGGAATTCATCAAGAACAATGCATTTCTGAGATTTATTTTTTTTTAATCAGACATACCCTTAAGGAAAAATAGAACTCCACATGCACAGAATAACACACAGAATTACAAGCTGATATATCATCTATATATCAATGAGTTTCTCCAGCTTTAATGTCTAACAAAATAACAGAAAATAAAAAAAACGGAACTGTGCTTTCTGTTCACTTTACCAGCTACAGACTGCCCCACACGACCTCCAACATAAGACACCTGCCCAACTGTGAGAACAAGCTCAGTGGGGTTCTCCCACTTACAAGTTCAGGCATTTGTTAACCCACCAAACAAACATTATATGACTCAAAACAACAAAATCCCACTCCCAGCCTTAAAAGACAAGCAGCTGGAACATGCCTGTAACATGCAGCACAGCTTCCAAATGCCGCATATTGAAATCTGGGCCTTCTAAAAATTTACCCAAACATGACCCTCCTTCCCTTTTGTTCACTGCTCCCCATTTATCGACATACATTTTGATGAATTAAAAAACATGAGGAAAACCTGTATATATCTGCCTTCTGGATATAAACAATTTACATGAAGGAAATTACATGAAGTGAGTAAATGTTTTTCCTTTTCTATTCACACAGACTAGGTAGGATTTCACTTGATTAAATACCTAAATTAAACATGAAGAATTCAATACCAATTCAACATATGCATGAAAAGTCTAAACACAGCATTTGAAAGGTGATTGATTTCTTAAGCACTGATATGAGGTAATTTTCAAACTTTCAAGATTTGTAAACTACAATGGGAAGAATATATTTTCATAATAAAATAACTAGAAATTGGTATCTAAAAGTCAAAAGCCCAAGAAACCTTGGTGTAATGAAGTTACACTGCATTGATATTTTACTTTCTCTTGTAATGTCTTTGTACCTAACCTCCATAATGTTCATATGCATAAAAGCAGTCTGTCTTGCATCTGGCATATTTTGTGATGTGGGATCTTTTTTCAAGTTTAGCAATATACAAACCCACCATATTTCTAATTTTATTTCATTAGAATCACTGCTCTACTAACTCAGCAGCAAGAAATGTCATTAGACTGCCTTTTTACATGAAGTGGGCTATTTTAACAGCAGTAATAATAAATGCAGGTGGCGCTACAAAAAACAAAGGAGAAATCAATTTGGATTGTTTAAATATACATTTTATCTACATCATACGATGAAACTTACTATTTAGGTACTTTTTAATCAAATTTTACATTCTACAGTCATTTATTACATATACATACCTTCAGGTAAACACAGCATAAGTATACAAAACACATATATACAAGACCAATCTGGATATTCTTGAAGGCAGTGAAGTTTCTATCTATATCCAGTTTGTGATATGGAACAATAATCTAGTAGAGGCAGCAGTTACTGCTTGCACCAATGTCTGACAGAGACTGGACTTACTCATGCTTCTGGTCATTTAAATTTCACAAACTTTCCAAATCTGTGATACTGTGCAACAAGAAATAAATGTATACACAAACAATACAGTTGAGACTTCCTGCGCCGGGACATTTCAGGGACTGAGTAGTACCTACAGTACAGTGGAACCTCCCATCTGGAAGATTACCTTCAGGACATGGTTCCCCCTTGGCCATTATCCAGCCCAACTCTTCTCTACTAGCAGTTGAACACTGAACATCACCACAGAGCTGCCCTGAATCTGGTCTTTCAGATCAATCTCAACAGAACATGTACGTGGAACTGCAATGATTTTTAGTAATGTGACAGACATTACACTGCTTATTGAGGCAAGGAAAAGTTTCCTTCATAATCACATTTTTCATGCTTTCCATTACGCCTGGTAGAAAATGTTTGGGAAGTCCCAAGTAAATATGATTCACATGTACAAGGACAGTATGAGAGGCAAACTGTTTTTCCTATAGGAACAGAAGATAATAGTAATATAATTGGAGTTTAGTGTTTTCTTTTTAAAGAGCATCTAGTAAGGAACATGCAAAGTTCATGCATTAATTCTTTCATTATTCCATTTAAACAGTGTTTCCATTCACTGAATTAAAACTTCAAAACCAAAAAGACTGTATACTCAAGGTTTTTAGGACAAATCTCTTTACTGAACTTGCAAAATACTTGAACTCTGTAGCGAACATATGTGTATAATTAGGTTATAAGATGAAAAAGGGTTGGGATGGGTGCTGGTGTGCTGAGGCCAATTCAAAACAAAAACCCAAGAATGTCTGAAAATCCCTTCCTACTCAAGCAGTTATGGTTGTGACGGTCTAAGGACATATGGCAGCAGTACCTTTCTTGTAGTGCAAATGACATAGTTGGGAAAAAGCAGACAAGATATTGGGAGCACAAGCTGCTCCAAGGCAACACAAGTGCTGCTGATATGATGTGAATAAGCCAGAAAGTATGCAGCATATAAAGAAGTTATGTGCTTTTTTCGAGCTGCAGAGCTCTGGACACACTTCTATCTAGTTTCCCTACAGCAAAGTTTAATGGGTTTAGAGCAAATCTCCTAATGTGAGTAGGACTTAAGCACAACCTTATAAACAACGACCAGAACAGGCCTGATAGTCTTATGAATCAAAGCCTTCATGAAGATGTGCAGCAGAGAAGAGATCGACTCTTCATAAAACCTCAAACTGAGCTGCAGGAAGGACAGGGAGGGCAAATCTTCAGTGCTGTGGAGCAAGCAGCAGCACTTTTTCAAATACATGATCAGAACAGCATTCTCTGGACTGACACAGACCACCTAAAACAGGCAAAAGACAGTGCCTTGTACTAAGCAGTTCCTAACAATGGCATTCAATCTTACTAACAACATATTTTTTAAAATAGAGAAAAAGGTATTTCTACTTTATAAAAGACCCGAACCAAAATGAATTGCACATAATGACCTGAAACGTACTCAAGAATACTTCAGAGGGAAACTTTGCAGTGTGAACTATGAGCAATTTTTCCCCTTTATCTTCTCTATAGGAAGTAATCTGGAATGTGGTAGACAGCTCTTCTGCTGTGAATTGTTTTTTTCTCTACTTGGAGATGGTTTGATTTATTGCTCCTTTTGGTGCTCTCTGAAAATGATACAAATTTAATTTATTCCTCTGCAAGTTGCCCCTTACATTGACACTGGACCACTTCAGAGAGTTTGAAGACTTCTGGAATGTTGGAAGCCTTAAAACGGGATGACTGTGAATATGTGAAAAAGAAGCCAGCTGTGGACTAATTAGCACTTTTGTGCCTAGACTTCTGAAGTCTTAGTTGCACTCTACACTATTCAACTATTAGCAGACTGCAAAGTCCCAAACCTATTACTTTTTTTATTTCACAATCTAAACCTGTGAAATGAAGCAGTTGGTCACACTTCATTAACTACCTTTAATGAAGATTTTAAAATACATAAAGATCTCTTTGTACAGTAACCTGAGCAGTTGTAGACTAGGATCAGAGCGAGAGGTTAGATTGCAAAGGTGAAAGGGGAAAGCAAGGGATTTTTAAAACTCTTTTTTTTCAAGAAGCACGACAGCGATATTTGAAAACAAACATGGTTTAATACATGTAAACAACGGCTGACAGGAGGCTGTGTAAGCACTCCTTTAGTTTTATATATGTTCCAACAAATGAAACAGAGAACAATATGTTTGGAATATGTAAAAAGGCTGGTGCCTACCCTTCTGGCATAGATTTTTGTCTGTATGTGCCTCCAGTAGAGCCAGTCTCACTTGAGGATGATAAGTTGCTTGGAGAATTACGGCACTGTTGCGATCTCGCTAAGGCAATGGATGAAACTGTGACGTAGACATCAGATCCAGGAGACAGTCTGT